ACACACACACACACACACACACACACACACACACACACACACACACACAAAGAGCTCGGATGCTTTTTGTCTACACAACGATAAAAATGATCAAACAAGAGCCCAGCAAAGATTAGTCTGCTCTGACTTTTGACACGGTGATCTTGGTATATCCAGCCGTCACGAACATGATCCATGGTTTGGTTTTTACTCATAATGACTTAAAGTAATGTGCTGCTGTGTAGTTTAACAGCCCAGAAAGCACAGGAAATCACCCAGTGTTGTGGAATTGAGTGATTCATTTCAGCCTCCACTCATTTAACGACTCCCCTTCTTTTGGACTTCCATGAATTTAACTTCAACATGTCTCGTGTCCTAACAGACCTGGTCTCCTCAGTAAGTCTGCCTTCTTCTTCCTCCTCCCACGCAGCTGCTGCTGCCTCTGGCAGTGGAAGGGGCAAATGAGTCTGTGATGATGTCATTCAGTAACACGTTTATTGCCACTCCAACAAAGATGCAGTAGTTTTTAATTGGTCGATTCTGATTAAAAAATTTAAGTTGGGTTGATTTCTGAATTAGTAGCTTACAAACTTTTTTCAATTGTTTTTTTTATTTTATTTTTATAGCTTTTTGAGGTTTCCACCCTTTGGCTACTTGTAAATGTTTTGCTAATTTTCCACGCTTTTTAGCTTTACGACCTCAGCTTCAGCAAAGTCCAACAATGTTCAGTTAGGTCATCTGGATGGTTTCTTTATTTTACTGAAGCATTTTGTCCTTCATCCAAAGGACTTCTTCAGTCTGAAGAGCCACCAAACTCATCTGATTCCCATAAACAATATCATGACTCTCTCACTAGTATATTTTCACCTTTAAATCACTTCTTGGTCTGCTGTCTTCATACATCTCCTCCTACATGTCTCTGCGTGAGTGCAGCTACAGCGAGCGCTCTCAGGACTTTATTACCTGCAGTGTTCCCTCAGTGAGGACTGAACTAGGCAAAAGGGCCTTCTCCTACTCCGCTCCTGTTTCCTGGAATATCTTACAAAAAGATGTGAAGCTCTCGACCTTGACCTCTCTAAGTGGCTTCAAACATCTGCTAAGTTCCTGGCAAAAACCAATACAGACATGTTCCTGTTTTTAGTATCGCCACTGGTAGGATTTGTTGATATCAGCCACTTCCTCAATCTGTCAGCGGTACATGCTGTGCAGGAGCTTATCTTTCCATGATGACTCCTCTTGATCATTCTCTTCCACATTGGCTTTTTTGTTCCTCTTCTTCTTCCACATGTGTTTTCTGTTGGCATTCTCCCATCAGTTCATCACTGGGGGCTTCCCTCCTGATTTACTCCAGGATCTTGTTTGTTTCATTCTTACATTCACTAGTTTTCTGGATATCTGACAATTGGCGCTGCATACGGCTGATGGCTTGGACTTTGTTCTTGCCAGGACCTGCCTTTCTTTGGCCTCATCTTAATTACAATTTGCCTGTGGAATTCCAAGGTAGCTGTCTAAACACGCACAAACAATGTTGTCTTTCTATCTTTACAGGAACTTTGCAATGACTTCCATTCATTTTTAATTCATTTCTATAGCCTAACCCTTATCCTAAACTTAATCATCACCAGTACCGAACATACTTAACCCGAAACCTTTCCCATCCTCAATTCACACCTTAGTCCTAAACCTAACCCTTAACCCACCAATGGCACTTCTTCTTATGGGGCCCAGGCTTTGGGTCCAACATAGAAATGTTGTAATGCTGTGATAACATTTTTGAATATGATTCATATTGTGTGAGCAGAATAAGTGTTAAAATATTTGGTTATAAAGTCAACAACTCGATTTAATTCTACATTTACTGCCCACCCTGCCATAAAAAGCAAGCAATCTCATGTCATTGCCTGTCTGTGTTTTTGCATGTTTATCTGTTAGTAAAATATTCAGTTAAGGCTGGGGGAGGGGCTACAGGACTGCTTAGCCCTGTGGCCTTTAGGCAGGTTAAGTTGCCCTGATTAAAACTGTTTTCATCAAGCTGTCCTCTTATTGTGCTTTGCTTTTTGGGTCCTTATCACAAAACAATGAAGATGACTTGCAGATGAGGAAAACAACCAATTTTTGTGTCTCCTTCACTCAGTAAAACATTCTGCTTGGAAGACTTGTGATTGTTAGCAAAAATGAGTGCTTAGCCATTTTTGATAGCCACTTAATGATGCATTCATGGACCAGGAGAGGAAAAAAGCCACGACATTTGAGTTTCAGATCGACTGGTCACTAATCAAACTGGCACCTTTAATTTAAAAAAAGTTTTCTCCAGTAAAATAAGGCTAATTTTTGTGTTTGAGGCCAGGTTGCATCCAAACGTCAGCCTACAGTACCTTGACTGGATTCACCCCGACTAACATCACTGCTGTATTCACACGCTTCTCCGAGCTTCCTCACAGTCACTCACTTTGCCCTGTTCAAAAGAACAGGCTGCAACCTTGAAGCTGTTCCACAGCTTTCAATAAAAAAACGCTTTTTTTTTCTGGGAGAGAGTAAGAGAACGGCTGCAAAGCGAGTCGTACGGCGACAGTTTCATTGCTGGCGTCAGTGTGGGACAATAAGAGTAAATGGAAAGCGTCTGCTGACGTCAGAGGCGGATGTGTGACACAAGTGTGACACAGTGACGGCCGGACTGCAGCTCATCTTCTGAATATTACCTCATACAGTGGCACGCAAATTCCATCAATCCACTCCAGCTGAAGACCCGGAAGCTCGTCCTTCCTGTTGCGGTCAAATATGGCCTACAACACACAAACACACACACACACACAACGACAGAATTAGTTTTAGGCTGTTAGAGATTTGGTTTGCGTGAATTCTCTGGCTCTCCAGGTTCTTTCACATACAGTTCCCATTCTCCCTCATTCATGCCGCCTGAACTTAAGAGGCTCCACTGAGGCTGTGCTTCAGAGATAGTTACCAGGCTACGACTCAGAAGTTAATATTTCATTCCCAACACCCACACAGAAGAGCTAAAGGTCTGACACAAGCAGCAAAGCCAGGGCTACTGAATTAGTTATTTCAAAAAGGGGAGGCAATGTGGCCTGACTCGATTACTTAACAGACATTAATTGCTTCCAGAAGGCTGTTGCTTTTCTCCTTTTAGGGATTTGCAACGCTCTGCAGGATGCAGATCTCAGTTTGTATAAAACATTTCTGAATGAAGAAAAACATTTTAATTGATAACTATTGCTTTTGATCTAAAACAGTTAAATCTGGTCCTCTGGACATTCAAAAAAAAAAAAAAATCTATTGCTTTTGATTTTTTTTTTTACTTAAATGACGAGAAAATCAAATCGAACAAAACATTCTGTGTGTTTCCAGATAAATGACAAGAAAATCGTTCATTTATTTTTTTTTGCTTGGTGGGTGTAGCTGACTGCGCACGCTTCTCACAAGCGCTCATGTTTCCTACGCTGTCTGGGCATTTTGGAGCTGCAGAGAAAATATATCTTTGCTTTGGCATCATCAGCTCTTTGAGGGCACAGAGGTGAGGGGAGCTGCAAAAAGCTGAGCTGGTTTGGTTTGACTCACAGAGGGCGTGAGCTTCAGCTCCAGTCGTTCTCGGTCACCTTGCTCAAAAAACTCGCTCGTCACCAACTCTGCCACCTGAGAAGAGAGAAAACGTTTTGTCAGTTATAGAGGATGTAGCAAAAAGAAATTACCTAAAAATCTCTAATTATCCCAATCCGCTAAAGGCAATAATGTTTTTTTTGCTTGCGTCTGTGTTTGTTTGTAAAGTTAGTGGACAGATTTTAATGAAAAGTACTGATTCAAGATGGCTGTCACAACAAAGTGACACTCAAATGGCTACAGCTCAGCCACTTTCACAGGTATTGAGCAAATATTTGGTGTGGTAGTAGCTGAAAGTCATACCCAACATTTACTCTGACTGCCATTAACAATTAGAGTTAACCATGTTTGTCTGTTAGTAAAATATCTCATGAACCAATGAACAGATTTTAATGAAACTCTCAAAATGTGATTATTGGATGCACGTCTACAAATGAATGAACTTTGGAATCCATCCAATTCAAGATGGCCACCACAGCCAAACAATAGCTCTAAACCAGCCGATTTTACAGATATTAAGCTAAAATTTGGTGTGGTCATAGCTGAAGTGGATCTCCAAACCATATTGTCGAGATCAACTGATTGCCCAAGAGCTTTGCTTAAAATTTTGTCATTATCTGTTGAAGTTAAATCTGTTAGCAAGTTGTCTCCAGATATTGTCTCTGGATATCCATCTACACACTTTTGACTCATTTGTCACCTTGCGTGATATTTCCCAGGGCTTTGTGACGGCACCAAGATCGCACGCTGTCATCATCATGGATCTGAGAAGGGAGCAGGTTAATTTAATCCTTAAAAGGATGGTGACGTCATTTAAATTCACTTTTAGTGACACAAAGAGGCAACTCCACCTGCACATGTCTCTGTGGGCCTTAACGTTCCAGTTGTACTCTCCTTTTTTGACCAGCTCAAAGAATGTGTTTCTTTTCCTGCAGTGAAACAACAAAAGAAATCTTTACATCCAGATGTGAATTACAAAATAAATCCACAAGGGGGCGATGTTAGCTAAAAAACAACAACATTCTTTTAATGATCAGTGTATGCAGATGGGTCCAGAGGTTTGGCTTCTTCACTGGAAATGTGCCAGTGTTCTGGACTCTCACTTACAGATTAATAATCAGTGGGTTTAGCAGAACATACTCAAAGTACAGTGTGAGGTCCGTGGCCAGAATCGACTGCTTCAGCAGCTGCATGAGGTCGCTGTACTCTGTGGACGACAGGTTGGAGAAGATGTTGTGACCCTGCGGAGACACAACAGTCACATTGTGAACCTACACACAGAGCTTCAAATCAAAATAACTTTTTTCATTACATGTGTAAGTTAGATCAATCTGTTAGATCATGACATCTGCCAACACGTTAATGTGAAATTATTATAAAACATTAATCAGCTTTAAATGATCCAGAATCAGCTGGACTTTGATCACAGTTTGCGTTCAGCACAAGCTTTGGACTGAGAGGTAACCGGCTCCCCCGCCGTGGTTTTTACCCACAGCCGCTTCATTACTGGTGTTTTTATCCAACGTGTTAGTATAAACAGATGCTTTTTTTTTTTTTTTCACTCTGCCATAGTTACAGGAACTTTATTTTAATTGTATGAAGTATAAACTTATTGGACTTCTACAAAGTAAAAAACAAAGAGAAACGTCTGTATATTGATGCTGTGCTAAAGCATTTTTCTGACCAAACAAAACCACACAGGACTGCACAACACACATTATGTCCCAACTCTACATATTTTAAATACTAAAGCTTCTGCTGCAGTAACCAGGTCTGGTTTTAGTTTACAGGCTCAACGCCGCCACCATGATTGTTCATAACAGGACGCGCAATAACACAACAGCAATAACACAACAACAATAACACAACAACAATAACACAACAGCAATAACAATAACCCAGCTCCTGTTAAGTCACAGCAATGGGGAACAAAACTGAGGCTGTGTGCAAAATCATTTTCTCTTCCATGCAATCTGTTTTCCAACTGAGTGCTAAATTCCTGCTTCTATCCCATGCAGTAATTACTAGTTTAACATTAAAATGTATTTTCTGTGTCAAAGAAATGTGTACATTTTTACTTTTATTTTGTTCCAGCAGCTCAGGCAACATGAAAACTGATCATTTTAAAACTGTTTTTCATCACAGTCTGCGTTGATGATCTGTAATGTTAATATGCCACAATCATCAACGTTGACTTAAATTCTATAAGAAGCACAACTTATATTGCATTAAACATTTTGTTTGTTTGTTTGTTTGTTTTCACAGGAATCCCTATAATTAGATTAATTGGATCTGTGCAGGGTAGCATCTCTGCAACTCGTAATAAGTAAGGACTATCTCACCTCATCATTAAGCTTTTTTTTTTTTTTTTTTACTCATTCATGCAACAGATTTCTGAAGGAAAGGTTTGGAAATGAACAAAGCTTTGTAAAACTCAATAACCACTGTTCAAAACAGAACGTCAGCTCTTAAGATTTCTCTGAACATGCCTGTGACTCCTTTCACCAGCTCAGGGCTTCCCATAAAATACGGAATCACCTAACGGCAACGACACAAAGCACGTCTGTCGTTCTGACGGAAAGAGGGAAAGAAACTAGCTCATGAGAATTATGAAGGTAGTGAGTGATGTTATAAAGCTTATTGTATGAACAGCTCACGTGGGTCAGCCGTCTCTTCTGCTGGATTCAGCCCCACTGTTCATTTGTACACTAATTAACAAAGGACAACAGCCGTTCCACCCTACTATCAACAGACACTATGATATCCAGAGCAAACATACTGTGCTGTCAGCACCATGATAATGAAGCCACTGGAGCTCCCCCCCCCCCCACACTGTCCCAGCTGCTCCTTCAAAACACCTCCAATTACAACTTCACCAGACCCATTCAGCTGCTATAATGTCTTTCTCAACCAATTACCAGTGAATCTATCACCTCTGTAATTACATTGATTTGAGGGCAGCGTGAGCTATTTGTTTCTTCGCTCACACGTTGGATGCCTTTAAGCACTGCGAGCACCAACTCATTCATGTTTCAGGGGAAACTGTTGGGAGCTTTTCGTTCGTTTACGCTCCGCTCCATCAATCCTTACACAACTACGCTATTTTTTGACTGTGTATTCCAATAAAATGGGTTTAAAGTGAAGTCACTTGAATATAACTGGAGCATAAAGTTTTAATTTGGATTTATAAAATGACTTGTTCTATTTATTTTATTTTTCTTCAAAAGGTTGTCCATCAATGGATTCAGGGGCGTCTGCAGGAAGTTATGCCCATCAGTCTACATGTGTTTAGTGGGTTTGGAGATAACTGTGCTTTCTGAGGGATTCAGGTGCTGCATGAGTATGTGGTGCCACGCTCGTTCAGGAGGGGAACCCAAACATCCCTACACCAGCAATAACTGAGTGTAACTTTAATTTTGCTCTGGTCCTGTCATGAGGAAGAAAGGGAGGAGTAGTTGGAGCGCAGTGGAAACAAGAAGCTGAAATGACTTTCCTCCCTGTAATGGTTCAGCCTTAGGCGCTCCGTCATCCAGAGGGAGCTCAGAGGAGAGCTGCTGTTCCTTTGCTTCAAAAAGACTCAGTTGAGTTGATCCAAGCATCAATCAATCTTTTCAAACAAGTCTTTTCATGTCTTTTAGATCAGTGGTTCTCAAACTGGGGTCCCCGGGCCCCTGCAGGGTCAGCGAGCCAGTGCATGGGGGTCCACATAAATAAATAATAATAATAAATTAAATATACATTTGACAGCACAGTGGTGGAACTGGTAGAGCTGCTGCCTCTCAGCGAGCAGGTTACCCTGGTTCAAATCCTGGTCCGGGGGCCTTTCTGGATGGAGTTTGAATGTTCTCTCCGTGCATACGTGGGTTTTCTCCGGGTACTTCGGTTTCCTCCCACAGACCAAAAACATGCATGTTAGTCTTATTGGCAACTCTAAATTGTCCCTAGGTGAGAGAGTGAATGGTTGTTTGTCTCTATGTGTCCCTGTGATGGACTGAAGACCTGTCCAGGGTCTACCCCACCCCTTGCACAATGATTGCTGGATATGGGCACTGGCGACCCCTGGGACCCATAATGGAAGAAGCAGGTAAAAGATAATGGATGTATGTGTAATATATATATATATACACCGACCCGCCCGCTATTTGCGTTCTGGCATCGATCGGTTTACAAATTAAGCCCTGTTACTTCGTATAACCACTGCTGTTCTGATTCTGTTCAGTTTTACTTAAAGAGATTTCTATAATAATTTGAAGAAGTGACAACACATTTATGTTCATTGTGTGAATAGGTAAAGTTTTAAAGTGTTTTTTTTTATGCTGTTAATTTTCTCAAAACTCAAATTTTTGGATGTTGAAATAAAAATGTTGTTAATTGTGTCTTGAATGAAAAACAAGCCATGTTTAAAAGTATAAAAATTGTATCAACACTATTAAAGGACAGGTTTTAAGTATTTATGTTACACAAATATTTCCATTGCATTAAAGAGACAAATTGAAGAAAATTATTTAATAAACATGAGAGTTATGAGGGGGGTCCCTGAAATGTTTTCTCCTCTGTGAGGGGTTCCTGAACCCAAAAAGTTTGAGAACCCCTTCTTTAGACTTAGAGATGGCCTAAAACTATAATTGTGTAATGTCAGGGATAAATTGGAAACAAGGGATGTGCATTTATGACAAGCTGTAAAATGTACACAACAAGCTGAAACAACCCTGCATTAAGAACTGTAGCATCATTTGACCCAAGTAAACATTAATCAGGCTGAGAGCAGTCAGCATAAAGTTTGTATTATTTGTGGACTGCCAACCTCACCACTAGGCAAGAATGCAGATGTGTTACACAATTATTTAAGTTGCAGAAGAACAGAGTAGAATAAAAATTAGGTATTTTAGGAGAAGTCTGCTCTCTGTCTTTGTGTGTTTTCTAACACAGAAAATTCCACGCAACACCCACAAATCATAATCTGAATCTAAAGTGAACACAGTCGAATGCAACACTTGTTCAATAAACGGTGTAAAGTTCTGTTTTGCTGCAGAGACATTCTGTAGTTCACTTGTTTGGTTTCAGCTGTAAGCTGCAGTTTCACAAATATGTTGTCTCCAAGAGTGACAGAGGTCGAAGGCTCTGCTGCCAATGGTGTTTGTAATCACATAAAAACAGAAATGTGCTGAATACCTACAATAAACGACGTTAAGCACTAGCAGAAAGCGAATGGTGACTGCATTACAGCGAGCATTAGACGAAAACACACCTCGCTCTGCAGGATCATAACGGCGTGGTTGAAGTGGTGGTGCTCCAGCGTAGCAGAGGTACCATAAAGCAGAGCGAGGGCTGAACCCGTCCTGCCACACACACACGACAAAACACACACACACGACAAAACACACACATTAGGATTAACAAAGGAAAATGGCGTAATCAATTATCAACACAAGCTGAGGAACAAAATCTGCGCTAAAAGTCTGTGGTGACTCCCACCAGTTCACTCTGTTCACAATTTATGACTCAATAATAAAAGAAGCTTGAGACTCATAACCAGTGCTGCAGTAAAACAACAATATGAAGCAACGATTTTGGTCAGTAACTTCAAAAAGCCCTCATATAACATGGGAGTGGGTACTTACAGTGGTAGTTCAAATATTTTTGAAGTCATGTTCTGTGGTAATGGTCTGAGCAATAAGTATCTTAGCTGTTGTAGAAAGTTTTTAAAACTACCTCGATTTAGAGAAATGGATTGTGATTGGGGTTAGCTTGATGAGCTAACAGCTAGTCCAAAGATTTTAAATAAGTTAAAAAGCTGTTTTGCATTACATTTCCGCACAAGTATTATGTTATTCCTTTTGGAAGTTCCAAGTCTGCCCTCTTTAGCATTTCTGCTTCAAAATGACAATAAATTTCCATGTAAACAACTTTTAATGAAAATTTTGACAACGGTGTAAAGGTTTATGAAAATGCTGTAAAACGATTGAGAATGGAGTTTAAAGTTGCTGCTCTTGTTTTCACTTGGACAATAAATTAAATCATTAATCCAGTCATAATCAAACTGTAAATCTCCAAACTGAGTTTATTCAAAGAGCTATCTAAAACAGGTAAGATATTGATTGTTTCTATACACTCCACAGAGCAATACTTCAAAATACCTGTCACCCAAAATTGTATTGTTCGTTTTATACTAATATATAGATTAACGGTAATTTTTTTTTAATAAAGAGCATAAAACCTACTTTTGTACATTATGAATAAAGCAACCATCATTAAAAAAAACATGATTTAAAGTTTTGAGCACAGTTTTACTGGGAGTGTGATAAAGAACAGGGGTCCCACTCCCCGACCTGTTGTCCACAGATCATTTAGAACCTGTCTGCACAGAAATAAAGTAAAAACCTTTCTTTTCTATATAACTTTTCTTTTTCTTCCATATATGTATTTTTATATTAATGTACATTGGTCTTCAAGGTGAAAGGTTAAAAAAAGACCATTGTCATGCCTCTTTCCTGCGCTTGCTTCTTTATATACTGGTATTGTTTCTTTTTATACTTTATATTGTGCTATTTTTGGATGTAACTGGGACCTTGAGTACACAATTTCATTCCACCTCATGCACCACATGTGATGCGAATGACGATAAAGAACTTTGATTTAGTTATCTTTCACATACGATCAAACCTACTGGCTAACTATAGGAAGCTAACCTTAGCAAACCCATGAACGGAGCCCAGCAAAAATGAGTACAAAACCAAATTTGCTGCAGAACTCGTGTTTTTTCCATTAATCCATGGAAAGTTATCTTGTTTATAATTTGTCTGTAAAGCAAAGAGAGTTAGGGACAACTGATATAGAAGCTAAATATACGTATATGGTTCTGTCTGAACTGATTTAAGCTTTACTATAGGTTTTTTTTTTTATTTGCACTTTGTTTTCACTTTGCTTTTAGACTGAGTTTAATAAATTCTACGAGGGAAGAATATTTGGCATCTACAGTAAATGATTTAAAACCCTGATACCTGAGAAACTAAATGAATTGGCAGTGTCTATAGTCTCTTCATTAAACAGAGTCTTATATAAGACCTAAACAACTTCCCACTTGACTTTTGCTGATCTGAGCTGGATTACTGCAGACTGCTGCATCCAGAAAACACACTATAGACAGAGTGTAAGAAGCAGTGTGTGTGTGTCAGTGTGTTTTGCAGCAACATAAAATCATGTACACTCACTTGGCTTGAAAAGCATTGTTGGTGCCCCTGTGGTCCAAATCGTGGCACACACAACCTACAATAAGAGCTAAGATCTCCAGCTCTGTCAGCGTCTCCTGGAAACCTGCCGTCTGATTGGCACAGAAGACACAAGGCACATAAGAAAACACACACACTTATGTATATGCTGCATTGTTCAATAAAGATGTGAGTACATTGAATAAAAATGGGAAAAAATACATTTCAACAGCAGCAGCATAATTCTGAAACAAACAGCATCTTCCTAAAATACCGGTGGGACTGCAGTCACAGAGCCACTCATTCAGATTTATGGCTCAGACGAGTGGGGTCTGGAGACCATGTGCTGAGAGAGGGATCGCAGCAAAGAGAGTAAGGCCCTCAGCTCAAGCATTAAAATGCACGGCAGGAGAATGGAAGGGACCAGAACAGCTTACACACTACTATTTTATTTCATCTAGCCAATAATCAGTTCAGATGAGACGCCACAGAATAATGCTGCACTTGATAAAATAAACTATGGTGATGTTTGCATTAGAGCATGTGTGTGGTGGGGGGTGGGGGGGGGGAGAACACGATAAAGGAGCAGAAAAAGTAAACCATGACAAATAAGCTCTATTCAAACAAACATATCTACACAATACTGTCAGTCTGTACAGCTATTAATGCAGTGACTCATAATTTAAATACTAGTGATATGTTCTCAGGTAAAATGGTTAAATGTAAATTTTAATTAAACTAAAATTTATATATTTTGATATAAAGAAGCCTTAATCAGTGGTTCATCAACTGCTGGCTTGTCCAGTTAAACAAAGACTTCTGCAACCTGATGTTTCTCCTGTTTCACGCTCACATCCTAATTCCATGAACTTCTGCTCATGAAACAGATAAAAAAAAACTATTTATTCTAGTAATTAAAAAAAAAAAAGTGTAAGATCTAAAACCATTACTCTTTTATGGTTTCGGAATAAAAGTAAATGCCTTGGACCTCTAAAACATTGGAAATTACATTATTACAACACAAGAAATCAATAAAAATAGTAAATATTTGTGTTAATTTCTGTGTTTTATCACACTTATTATATCCCAAAGACATTAAATAAAATTAAATTAAATAAAAAAGAATAAAATTAAAATTAACTAAAATCTATGAGAAAGCATCACTTGTAGTTAACAATACATGTTCAACTTTAGCAGAATCAAACCCGAGTTATTATTAAGTTATTGAGATTTAAAATGTGGTTTTAAATGCTTAAACATTGAAGATTAGAGGATTTTCAGTTTTTAATTTGCATTGTTAGTGTAGTTTTCACTTCTAAAACTTATTTTATTCAAAAACTTACAAATTAAAAAAGGGGAGAATAAAGCAGCATATTAATTTGTGGTTTTAAAAAGTTATGGCATTTTGTGCATTACAGACATTTTCTATTTTATTTTATTTTATTTTATTGCCTCACGTATTTTTCTTTTAATATTGTATTTTACACCTCTTTCAAGCTCTACTCAATCTGTGGTTTAACCCTTACAAAAAAAGAAGTATTTTTTAAAGTAAATTCTCATTTTAATTGGAACCAGCTGAGCATTTCCTCATATGAGCATGTCTCATGAATGCCTTGAGGAAACTGTTGCTTTATAGCTCACAAGACATTTACCGTTAGCATAGCAAACATGCACTGGCAGACGTTGAACGCATGCCTCCAGTTGTGGTAGAGAACCAGTCTGTAGTTTTTCCTGACAGTCAGCAGCCATCTGCAGAGAGTCTGGAGGGGAAGACGGGACAGAGGTGAGCACATGGGTCAGCTGTCTTCATGATGACACATAGCAGCACTTAAGGCAAACTCAACTGTGCATTCAAAGGAAACAAGACGGAGGAAGTGAGTGAGCTCACCTCATAGTCAATCTTAAATTTCTGCACCATTCCCAACTCTATGAACATCCTCAGAGCTGCCGTTATCATGGCGTCGACATCCAGGGAGAAATCATCAAAGGAGAGTTTATCAATGCCCAGCTCGCAGACCAGAGGGATGTTAGCAGCCTGTTTCATCAGGATGAGGGAAAACAAAGAGGAGGAATGAGAACATGAGCCCACAGAGCAGGAGTGGAGAGGGAGGTCAGTGGAAGCTGTGCCATTTTTGGATGATGATACATGAAAATGGGAAGACATGCTAATTAGGACTCTGAGGCCTCGTTTACAGGGAGGTGAAATTAATGAGGGAGCTTTACTCCAGGATTTCTTTGTTGTTTACTTGCAGAGCTCATTGATGAATGCAGTTGTGCAATAGTGAAGATCAACAGGATATTTATTATTTAAAGAAAAATAAGACTACAGTTATGCACACGTTCATTCTGAAGCATGTCTCCTATCTTCAAACAGAAATATGTGAGCAGGAAACGCTCCCCATGCCTCTGCACCGTTTACAAAATGTCCATTTCAAGGTTTTAAACCTCGATTCTATTTATGTAACGCTCTCTTCCAACGAGTCTCATAGTTTCAGCACAGCTGTGTCTCTGTTCTCCTATCGCAGGCACCAGAGCCCAGTGTTTTCCTCTCATATATTTGCCTGTCAGGTCAGTTGGTACTCTACTTTTGTTAATGCGCAGCTCCGGGTGAGGAAATGTCAAGCAGGTTTGTTTGTCTCTGGGTTTTGCACTCCAGTGGAATCCCAGGCAAGTGAACCTAATAAGGCGCCGTATGTAGAGCAGTTATGAAAGAAAAAAAAAAGAGGGGGGAACAGAGCGCAGTGCTGAATGAGGGGGCTGGAAGATCACACGAGCACACCAGCGACTGGGAATCCTACTACATGGATATGGTGAAAAGGGAAAATCCTGCACAAGAAAGTGCAAAAAAAAAAACCAAAAAAGGTCATATCTATATTTCAGATATGTTATGCCAATTGAAAATGTAGATTTTTTTTTTGTATTTCTAACTTTTTAAATAATTCATTGAAAATGATTGCTTATTGATTGAAGCGATCCATCTTAAATGCAGTTAGTTTGTTTTCTCTGGAGAATTTTTACCCCATATTTACACTTCGACAATCACAGTTCTTTGGAGAAATGATAATTAGAGAAAGATTTTTCCTTTCCCATTAACTTCAATGAGAACTTGTCATTTAACGAGAAAACAAATTCAATATCATAACCATTTATCAGTTTCGCATTACACAAATATTCCAGCGGAAATATTGTGATTTTCCTTGACAGGAGTACCCTAGGCTGCACCAGAAGTGCTACAGCTAGCTGCTGCTGTTTCTGTTAGCGCTTGCAAGAATTCAGAAACTTGACTGCAAAGAAATGCGCAACGCAAAATTAACGGTACAGCAAAGGATGGCAAGACAGTGTTTGCAGGAACCGCCATGACATTTTTAGATTGGAGTTACGATGGAAGCAATCAAAAGGGATTGAACAGAATTGAACTTCGCTTCAAAATTTTTGAAACATGACATTAACTGGGGGGCAGCACGGTGGCGCAACTGGCAGAGTTGCTGCCTCTCAGCGAGCAGGTCCCTGGTTCAAATCCCGGTCCAGGGGCCTTTCTGGGTGGAGTTTGCATGTTCTCTCCGTGCATGCGTGGGTTTTCTCTGGGTACTCCAGTTTCCTCCCACAGTCTAAAAACATGCATGTTAGGCTGATTGGTAACTCTAAATTGTCCCTAGGTGTGAGTGAGAGAGTGAATGGTTGTTTGTCTTGTTTGTCTCTATGTGGCCCAGTGATGGACTTGCGACCTGTCCAGGGTGTACCCCGCCCCTCGCACAGTGATTGCTGGACATGGGCACCAGCGACCCCCGTGACCCAAAATGGAATAAACGGGTAAAGAAAATGGATGGATGGATGGACTTTAACTGGAGCAGAAAGAAAAAACACAGTCCTTCACCTTAAATTTGTCCACTTCCGTCTTGGAGCAAGTGGCATGGTAAGACAGAACCTGCAAAATAATGAGAGTATCAGTCAGACTTTATCTTTTTTTTTAATGAGCACAAATCACCTTAATGTGGATTGAAAACACTTCACAGGAGTTAAGTGTAATTTGTGGACCTCCATAATGAACTCATAGCAGCAATTGCTGTTCTCATTCCCTGTGAGAAATACCTTGCACAGACTTACAGGTGCTTGTTTAATCAGAACGGCTCATGTTTATTCAAGGTTCTGCGGAAGCAGTGCATGCACACACGTATTCTGCATCTGTTCTGTGCTTCGACTATTTCACAACCCCAGTGCTAACTACCATAATGCACCCTAAAGCTCCTGTTTGTAATCTATGGATTCTGTAAAGGCGGACTGGTGCTGAATGGTTACCATTCTGTAGAGCAGATGACGGATTGCTTTTCACAGCCTCTCATTAATTTTCAATAAAACCTTTGTGAGGAGGTTGTTCGCAAAGAGAGATCAGCACGTTTTTGTTCGTGCGTACATTTCTATATAAGTGTGAGACTAAAAAAAGGAGTACAAAGACCCCTGGGAGAGAATAAGTGAGAAGAAACTTTGTTTTCCATGTAGCAGCTGCTGCTTCCTGTGACTTCTGGCTAAACATGTCACCCTTGAGCATATGTTGATTATGAAATAAGGTTTTAAAATAGAATGATTAGTAGGCTTGTCTTGTAAATCGAAGATAATATGAAAGCTCTGGTCTGTGCAATACAGCCAAGCGTCACAAAAAGGAAGAAGCATAAAAAGGTTGTGTTTGTATCGCCTGAAACAGTAGTTCAGATCAGTTCCAAGTTAAAAAAAATCAGTTCAAGTGGAGCTGATTGGAAAGGTTATAAACAATCACTATCTTACCTGTTGTAGATAGTTCTTTGAACAGCCTCATTTTAAAGAAAACGAGTTCATTTCTGACCAGATGGATGAGCTACTGACTAGTCTAAAGTAAGGTCATGGCATCTTAAAACAAATCCAAACTCTTTGTGCTTTGCATAAACACAAGTTTATAAACTTTTACAACACCATCATTGTTGCATTACACCTGTATTGACATTGCATGATACGGTTATTTACAAGCACAACAAGTGGCAGCAGCAGGTAGCTGTAGCCATTCTGGTGCAGCCTGAGGAACATCTATCAGGAATATCACAGTTTTTCTGCCTGACTAAACATGTAATGCAAAACAACTGACAGCAGTGAAAATGTTTATAAGTAGCATTTGCATAAACTAGTAAAAAAAAAAAGTTGGCGGTCATATTTGTTTTAAGACGGCAGCAATTCCCTTTAGTTTTGTCCTTGCTGTTAACTCATCGGCCGTCAGAAGTAAAATGTTAATTGTTTGTTCCCTTTCCACAAAACTTCACTTGGATTATCTGAAGCATCCTTTTAAAACGTTAATGCAGGGAATCAAATGAGATTTTGAGTTCTTACGTCCAACGCCACAGACTGCTTGGCCCAAGACTTCTTCACCTGGTCGTACATGATTGTGTTGTTGATGCCCAGTCCACAGAAGATCACAAAAGCCTAAAACAAAGGTCAGATTTATAAATTTTAAAATGTTCCAAAAATATTCCAAGAGGAGGAAACACAGAATCAAGTGTAATACCTCAAAGAGACGTTGGTCCGCGTCATCAAATGGTTTCCCATCAAGCCTGTTCAGCACTTGAGCCACACCTGTGGCACAGAATGAGTTTATTTATCAGATTAAGCACAGCCGGGATTCTTTTAGGCTGGTGCTCGTCTCTCTGAATAATCTCCAGTTGCTGTAGGGAAGACCAAACTTAACACACAACGTGGTGAAAGTGCCACTTTTCAAACTCTGCAACGATCATGTGGGAATAAAACATTTTCTTTCACACCCATCTTCTCATCATCTTAATTAAAAACATATGCATGCGTAATTAATTTAGTAATGAAAACAATTACACAAAACATAGCCATTTATATTCAAGTATTTCATATATTAAATCATAAAAATTGCATTTAAAACTCGTTTTCATCACTGAAGTTAAAATGCACTCCTTGTGTTTTCTTATTGTGTTTTATTGTTTTTTTTATGCAATCAGCTTTTAATTTGCTGCAGAATAGGAAGGAGGCCTCCAGCCATTACCAAACTAAAATGACTGCTAAGAGCTTTGTGGCCACAGCATTATCTTTAACTATTCCATTTTCAAAATTAGGGGAAACAATTATGGATGTTATTTATTTAAATTTCTAACAATTATTATTTATTATTACGACAACTTCTTACAAAGTTGTGTAACTGCACAGTGCGATTTATTCACTGGAGGTGAACTATGGAGGGAGTGTCAAATTTTGCTTAGAGCTTCACAAAACCAGACCTGAGCTGCAACCAGCTCAGCACTGTGTGAACCCATAAGGAATTATATCCAACAAAAGAAACAAAAGAAAAAAGCTGAACTAAAATTCATCCCAATACAGGGGCTGTTTATCATAATAGGACATGCCATAAACAATAATTCCCTGTAAGCTTAAGATCTTGTTTGTTTGTACTCTGCTGATTTTGAAGCAATGTTGTTCATGACTTGACTTGCTGACAGCTAATGTAACAACAAAAATGTTTTATTTTTGGACATACCATATTTTCCGCCGTACACGTCACACTGCTTTATAAGTCGCATCAGTCTAATAAGTCTAATAAAGTGGAAAAATCCATAAATACATCACTTCACCGCATAAGTTGCATCTATTATGTGTCACCACTGACAACCCAAAAATGTGGGCCGGTGTTGTGCAAAAAATCGATTGGCTGCCAAACGGCGGCTACAGCATGCACGGGAGGACTTTAACAAGAATTTAACAAGATTAACACTTAAAAACAATTATTTCTTTGCTCAAAATTATAGTAAAGGTGTGTCTCAGTCTAACTTTTACTTAATAAATGCACTTCAATGGTCAAATTAGCTGCATTTCACCGGGGCGGTGCAGAAAAATGAAGCTGATTTGACGGTTGCTCCAGGCAAGCTAGACGAAGGTGGAAGTCTGTGGCAAGCCGATTGTGTCATTAATAGCCACTTTTACCTATTACATGACACAACTACATACCATACTGCTTGAGTGCCATCTAGTGCCTAAAAATGGTAGTGTTCAATATTTTCAGTCAGAATGAATGAATGAAACATAAATAAGTCGCTTCGGTGTATAAGTCGCCGGGCATGCAAATTATGAAAAAAAAGTGACTTATAAGCCGAAAAATATGGTAAGCAACTTAACGTGATGAGTGGTAAAGATCTATTCAACCTTAACAGTCTTAACCTTAAAAACAACTTTAAAAGAGGTGTAAAGTTGGTAAAAGCTTCTAATTTTACACAAAAAAAAAAGTAAAAAAGTGATTCAGGGCTGCACCAAATGTTTTTGGTTGTTCCTATACTTCTGTGCAACGCCACTAATAAGTCTTATATAGTCAAGTAGAAGAATTTTTGATGTAATATTGGTTGGCATGCAAACTTTCAAGGGGAAAAACAAGTTGAATCCATACAAAATGAAGCTCAGAAAACATTAAACTTGACTCATAATCTTACAAAACACAGAAGCCCCCGTAGAAATCTGCTGTTTGAGCCGCATGGTGGTTTAATAGTGATTTAACAACAGTTTATGTCACAGGTTTTTCATGCTCAAGTAGAAGCAAATGCTTTTCAGTCTGAATATCAGGCAAGTGAAAGTTCACCGTTGGTTTTATAAAGCTCATTTTATAACCTGTGAGGGTTTTAATTGAATAAAAACAAATACATTGTGCAGAAAATAAACACAGATGCTGTTTTAAATGGGAAATATATTAGCTGATTTCTAGATAAAAAGCTAAAATTTGAAAATTGCTATTAAAGATGAAATAATAAACATTGCATTTAATTTTCTGGATGTATCCTTGGCTTAAGAATTTCATCTCTGCTGCTTTGTTTGTGGAATGATTTTTCACTCAACATCCTCAGGTGCTGCCCACGCACTGCCTTTCTTTCTCTCCTCACTCGTTCTGTTCTTCATTCCCTCTCCCCTCTCCGACAAATTCACGACACCTACGCAAAGACGCACCCAGGTCTTAACCAACCATCTGCAGCAAATATGCTGATCATCACTTAGCACTCAGATAATACTGATGACTTCCTGCGTCAGATCTCAGTGGACCAAGGGGAGGAGACACTGCTGCTTCTGAATGCAACATCCAGCAACAAAATCAGATGAAGAGATGAATGGTTTATCAGAGTGTTGTGTCGTTAGCCCGAGGCTGATTCACAAACACAAAGCGCACTGGCAGACAGAGGGAAACTCCTCCTCCACGTGTGCACTGATGGTGCAGCCCAGCATGGATCGCATCACACACATGCAGTCTCACATGAACACATGCACAAGCATCCCTCTCCCCTGATGTTCGCTTCATGCAGAAAAATGTGCTGCTGTGTGCCGAGCATTTAATTGCACCATGAACACAACATGCAGCCAAAAAGCATGTAGGTTGTTTTTATGTTTCATCTGAGCCCACAAGGTCCAATTAAAACCCTAAAGGCTACATAATTATCTGCAAAATCACATTTTAGGCTCTCCAGTGCTAATCTGTGGGAGGAGTTTGAGAAAACGAGGCTTTCTTAGTAGGCGAAGGAAAAACAAAAGGCAGAAAATACAACTCCTTTCGGATTAACTGGGAGCTACTGTATTTTTTGGCTTATGAGTTACAGGTTTTTGCATAATTTGCATGCCCTGCGACTTAAACACAGAAACAACTTATTTATGGATTTTCCCCATATTTATAAACCGATGTTTGCCTGAGATACGACTGTGTTCATTCATTCTGACATGGAAAATATTGAACACTACCATTTTCAGCCACTAGATGGCACTCGAGTTGTATGGCATGGCGTTGTGTCATGTAATAGGTAAAAGTGGCTATTAATGACACAGTTGGCTTGCCACAGGCTGCCACCTTCGTCCAGCTCCGAGATCATGTCTGGAGCAATCATCACATCAGCTTCATTTCGCTGTACTGCCCCAGTACAATGCAGCTAATTTGACCATTGACGTACATTTATTAAGTAAAAGTTCAACTGAGACACACCTTTGCAGTAATGTCGAGCAAACAAATAATTGCTTTAGGTGCTTATCTTGTTAAATTTTAAAGAAATGCGCAACGTTCCTCCTTCCTGATTTCCTCCCTCTGCGTGCTCCCGGCGCACCGAGGCAGCGAATACTTTTAAAATGCAGCTGTTTGAACTGTTAAAGTGCATTTATTGAGGAAAAGTTCAACTGAGACACATCTTTGCTATAATTTCGAGCAAACAAATAATTGTTTGTAAGTGTTAATCTTGTTAAAATCATTTTTGAAATCCTCCCGTGCACGCTCCCGCGGCTGTCATCTGGCAGCCAATCGATTTTTTGCACAACACCGGCTCACATTTTCGGGTTGTCAGCGGTAACGCATAGCAAACGCGACGTGTCAGCGGCAATGCATAATAGATGTGACATATATGGCAAAGTGACTTTTTTGTGTTTTTTCCACTTTATTAAACATATTTGGACTGATGCGACTTATATGGCGGTGAACATGTACGGCAGAAAATACGGTTATCTGTTTCAACCACAGAATGGAATAGAATTTTGTACATGTTCATATTTTAGTTTTTCATCTTCTGACCTTATTGTAACATTCTGCTGGAGTGTGCAATAATAATAATAAAAAAGTGAACTTACCAATAATTTGGTGGTTGCTGTTCCATATCGGAACACAAAGCACAGAGCGGATATGGAAGTCAGAGAACTGGTCTGCCTGGAAAAAATTGAAGAGTTACTCCTGAATGTGGATTAGAATCAGTGCTTGTAAATAAAACCTTCTTAACATCTAGTTTTCACGTTAACGTTAAAAGGTTTGCTTCTTTTAGAGAACAGCCATTAGTGCAGTGGCAAACACTTATGAATTATTTAAAAATGATGATATTAGATTAAATACCTGTTGAAATTAACTAAGGGGAGCAGCAACAGTGCCATTATGAACGAGTCTACACCTTCAGATTTATTTAACCCTTGTATTGTCTTTTGGGGACAGATCAACTGCACATTTATTTTTGTCCATTTTATTTTTTTATGAATTTGTTACAATTATTTTGGTGTTGTCAATAAATGACAAAGTAATTTTTTATTTTGTCTGAATATTTCAGTGCTCTCTCAACTTCGCTACATGCTGGTATTCTTTAAGGGGAAAATAGGGCACATTAAAATACAATGTAAATATGTATAAATTATAACCCCATATTTGTCATATCATAAAATAATGCATTCCTCTCTATAATATTTTCTTTTCACCTTTATTCCTACACTTTCAACTGTTATATTAGCTCACTAGGTGGTGCTCCACTTTTCCATAGAGGCTCTGTAAAATCTACAGAGCTGGATTACAACTAACCAGGAAACAGTATTTTCTTTTGGCTGGACGTTCCTGCAGAGTCCCGTCTCTCATTTCGTCTGAGAATATTGTTTTAGTTTGGATGTAGGGAGCAAAAACTCACTTGGACTCTTCACTCACTTGAAACTCACAAGTAAACGTTTAGTATGAAAAAGCTGTTTCGCATGCATGCAGGCTGCGGAATCGGACGTTTCACGGCTGGCAACGGCTGACTCGCATTGGCTTTTCTCAAAGCAGGACATCATTAACAGGTGCACCATATTTCCACAGCTTGCTAGTTTATCTGGGTCAGTGAAAGAAAAAAAAATCTGAAACTGGTGTTGTACACAAGTAGAGTTAAAAATAAGGTGGAAATAATAACAATTTAAAAAAAGATAAAATTATATTTTAAAACAACTTCATGTCTGACCATCAAGAGACGCGCAAGTTTGATTGATTTCACAAGGCCTCGATTTCAGCTACCAAATCTGAAGGGTTCAGTGGGCTGTAGGGTAGCAACAATTAAAAAGAATTGTAAAAAAAAAATCATTTTGGGTGTACTAACAAAGAGAAAAATCCATTTTGTATATACTGTTTCTTTTTATACTTTATATTTTTGCTATTTTTGGGAGTAACTGTGACCTTGAATACACAATTTCGTGCCACCTCATGTACCACATGTGATGCGAATGACAATAAAGATACTCGTACTTGATATATGGGCGGCACATTGACGAAGCTGGTACAGCTGCTGCCGCTCAGCAAGAAAGTCACTTATTTGAATCCCAACCGGGGGGCCATTCTGAGTGGAGTTTGCATGTTCTCTCCGTGCATGCATGGGTTTTCGCAGGCACTTCGTTTCCCTCCCACAGAACAAAAACATGCATGTTAGACTGATTGGTAACTCTAAAATTGTTATTAAGTGTGAGTGAGAGAGTGAATGGTTGTTTGTCTCTATGTGGCCCTGTGATGGACTGGAGACCTGTCCAGTGTGTCCCCCAGCCCTCGCACAGCTATGACTGGATATGGGCCCCACTGACCCCCGAAACCCAATAAGGAAGAAGCGGGTAAAAGATAAGGGATTGATTGATACTGTATTTATTCATTTATTTTCAAAAATTGCAATACAATAATGTTTTTCAATTTAAAAAAAAAAGAAATTTGTTGTTTTAAAAACTAATGTATAATGTATACACACACACACATATATATTACAATCAAAAATGTGATATTTTTTATTTTAGGCTGAGATGTCTCTAAAACATTGATTTGTTTATTGTGAACAAAATGTACTTTTAAGTAGTTGAACAAGGAGGTCAACTTTTCCCCTAAGGAACATGAATAAAGAACTGAATGAATAAAGTTAAAGGACAATACAAGGGTTAAGGTTGATCAGGTCTAAAATTTGTTCCATGCTGCTGGATATAAGGTAAAATTGCATCTTGGGAAGCAGTTAAAAACTAAACATCTAGTTTAGGTTTGATTCTGCTGAATTGTGAAGAATGATCCCAGGTACATAGATTTAGAGTTAAAAGCAGGTTTTTGTTCATACACAACCCCAGTGACGTGACATTCTACCTCAGCATCAAAGCGGGGATCCTGATAGGCATCACTAATGTTCACTGGTAGTCCTGTCGATGCCACCAGCTCTGCAATGCTGTTGTTGATGAGCCAGTCTGAATAGGAAGATTTTTCCATGCTGTCTTTAAAACTAGAAGAAAACAAGCGGTTACAGGTGATCAAAAGAAACACGATAAAGGAAAAGGGCTGAAACTCATGTTCATTTACTCAGAAGAGGTTTGATTCTCAAATACTAACTTTGTAATGTTCTCCTGCATCTGAACACCAGATAAAAAAAAAACATTAATTTAATTTGTTTTAAGATGACAACAATCCAGAATCAGAATCAGAATAAGCTTTATTATCATTGTACCGAAATACATTAAGATTATGTTTATACAGTTGTCTGAAAGATGGTGCTGCTACTACTGAAGCGCGGCCACTTATCCTTTTTCAGAATACTTTTTAGAGACAGAAAAGGGGAAAGGCCACGAGGAAAGGATAGTGGCATTACAAAAAAGATTTCTTCCCATCTTGTTCTTATCAAGACATGATTTATGACATCAAAAAACTCTGCCAGCAAGCACATTTATAAACACATTACATATGCATTTGATGGCAAGACAATGATATTTGTCCATGAAGCTCTTAGCCCTGGTAAGATGTTGGTCAGCCAGCACAGTTCTGATAAGCTCTCACAGAAGTTCTCGGGTGGTGTGTGTGTGTTGGGGGGTGGGGGGGTGGGGGGGTGGGGTGGTAGACGAAGCTTTTCCTTAGCTTACACATATCCCGGGAGAAAATTTCATAAGTCAGCCTGGTTTCAAGGCCAACTGGAAGAGTCAGATTCACATAAGCCACAATTGTTGATTTTCTTTTCAGGCAGACTTTTTTTTTCTTGTCAGCCCTGAGTCCTGCTGGTACTTTAGATCCAAAATGACCAGATTAGTGGGCATTCCACTGGTCCGTGCTCATGAGCCTCCTCCAAGTTCATCTCCAACATGTTGGTGAGTTCCAGAAGCCTCAGGTGGCCTGTGATTCTCAAAAATAACTTCCATCTTATGGTTTAGCTCATAAATCAGCTGATTTTGAGTACTCGAAGCATGAACCAAACATTTACACAGACTTGGCAGTTTTTCCATTGCCAAAACTGCTGCCTCCGTCTTCTTCCATAGCCGATAACATATGAATCCGCCAATGCCAAAAAGCAGAAACCCTGTCATCATGAATCTAATTATATAAACATCTTCGGCGTCCTCCTGAGACAATACGGAAAGACACATCAGCTCCCAAACTCCCCATGGATCCATGACGTATTCTGCCGCGTGCATCTCAGCAGGGCATGAGGGCTCTCCAGGACCCTGTCGCTTTGTTGAAAAGATTTTGTTGATTGTATTGAAAGTCCAGCTGATCAGATCCATAACAGTAGTTTTCGTTTCGGAAAATGTGTAATAGGAGCTCTGATACACAGAGAGCAAAAAAATATCACTTTGAACTTGTTCATCAGCTCCTCAATCTAATCACAGTTAAACTCTATTTCTACTTATGAGTATAATAAAAAGTGTTCATAAAACTTCCACAAATCCCCAATTAAAACAATCACAACTTTCACTTTAAGACTCATCTCTCTTTCAGACTCAAGGCGCAGCGTTCCAGACCGCTGCTTATCCTTACCTTTCTGAACCATCTTTTGCTTTGACTTGTTATTAATGCACTTCTCATAACAGTAGATACCAGTAAATGTCCTCCACAGCTTATGAAGTAATAAAAATCAATTGTTCAATTGTCTTCCCCATTGCCAAACGCCCACGCTCCGCTATAGAAACACCTGCATCACTGCTTACACCTCCTGTTCGCATTTATTGCGAGAGGGGTGTCGCTGAGCTTTACCTTCAAACAAACGTTCTGAGCAGCTAATTTTATCTTTAAAGAATAAAGATAGAAAGAGTGATGTCAGATCCTTTGAATCGTTTTGATCCGGTGATGCAGCACGCAGCAAATGAATAAACCATGCAGGGTATGAAGCTGTAACTCTTGCTTCTGTGTGTCCTGCCACTCGCTGTCAGTCATTTAACAATGTTGTTGTCCCCATGAGAGCTGCTGTGGAGTCTGGGCATATTATACATCCTAAAGTATGATCACCTTTTGACACCAAATTTATTGATTCAATTACACACAGCGCAGCCGCCCCCGCTATTCAGATGTAAACCTTTAGGGCAACTAACATCGCAGCAAGTTTCTTTAATATTCAGCGTGGACTGAAATGTGTGTTGTTTCGTTGGTTGAATTCACCTACAGTGACAAAAAGGGCTGTTTAGCCAAAGGAGCTACTAAATTCTTAACATCTTTATTTATTGGTTATAATAGTTTTTATTATTGCAACAACACTGCCTTGACCATATTGGTTATGACAAGGGTGAGTGTTGGGGGGGGGGGTCATTTGTCTTCCTCTCGGGGTTGTTTTCATCCATAAACATCCCACACAATATTAAGCCTCTTTTTCTCTGCTCAGCCAGGCCTGGCAGAAAAGAAAAGCAGCTTAACCTAATCACGCAGGGCTTCCACGGTTTTCTTTCTGTTCGAAATGAACTAATTATTGCTGTATCACTTCCAAATAGTCAACTTTCAGTTCAATTCATGAGGAATTTGGGAGAAATGTCAAGATATAAATGGAAATCAGAATCGGGTTTCAAGGTGTTTCACATGCGAAACGCGTACCTGTTTTCCGTGTCGGCGCTACATTTTGGGGACAGTAGCTCAAACGACTTAGTGAATTTGACCACCTGAAACGTGAGAAAGAGAAGAAACCGCTTGAGCTCCTGGAGATGCCCAACGTTTACTGAAACAAAACAACGGCAGATGAAGAACAGGCTGACAGATAGAGCCAAACACAGCAGGACAGCAGAGAGAATAACCGTACCGGTGACTCAATGTCCTCCAGCAACTGAACAGAGCAGCGCTCGCACTTAAGCAGTGTTTGGGCACGATGCATGATCTTCCTAACAATCTTCTCCAGGTCAGTCTGTTCTTCAAACAGGTCATTGACTACCTCCAGGAGTGCCTAAGAATGAACATACCAACAGCATTAAATCCAACAATCTAAAGCTCATGGTGCAGCAAGTACTAACAGATGAATCTGTCTGCAGGTAAGTGCGAAGACCCTTTAAATAAATATGTTGTGCTGTGCTCAGCCGTTAGATCTTAATCATTATAATCCTTGCCCCATAAACCAACAGGATGATATAACCTGAGTACTTTGCTCAATAAAAGTAAATTAGACCATTTATCTAAGGCAGTACCAATCCATTTTAATGCACATGCACATAAAATATTATATGGCGTAAAGGAACTGTTTGTCACTTTTTTCATTTACTCACCAAATAGTTTTTATTATGTTCTCTTCTACCTCTGATCAATGCATGACATAAACTAGTGAACCTTTTTGCATTCAAAGGCAGATTTGGATGATGAGCCAGGCACCTCCTTTGGATACCAAGAAATGCTCATGCAAGCTGCATCTGTTATTTCTACTGCAGCAGCAGCAAGTGTGCTGCTCTTGATCGATATCCAGCCTCCGTGTCAGCAGCAGAGTGGTGGGGGGTGGAGGGGTTATTATCATTGTTGCTCCTATGGCCCTTACCCGACTCCTGTCGTACTCCTTCCTCGAGGCAGCGAAGAGTTGAGCATTGGAGATTGCAATACCACAGAAGGGCAAATACATCTGCAGAACCTGCAGACACAATGAGAATAAATAAATATACTAACACAGTGGAGCTTGTTTCATAAAACAAGACAAGTTTTATTGTTTAATGAATAGCTAGGATCTTTTGAAGTGTGGTTCTGTAAAAGGATTATGAACAACTAATGTCTATGGTCCAAACAAGGCCAAGACGAAGGTGGATTGTTAATATTTTAAAGTGCCTGTGACATCAAATTTATGTAATAAATATTAACTAATTTTGGGAAAGATAGCATTGATAACGTATTGCAAAAGAAAATTCACGCCGAGTAGATCAGTTGTTGAGATATTCCCACACACAGTAACAGGAAGTGATGACAAAGGGGAGCAACTGCATGTGAACGCGGTATTGCCATAATGGCTAACATCATAGATGGTAGAGAATAATCTGATGTCCCTATACATTATTTTGAGTCACAGTCAGGGAAATATGAAGAAGAGTCACCGTTGAAATTATCTTTCAATAGACAAAGATCAGGGAGTTTGCCTTTTTAAAAAGTTTCCTTATGATGTCACTTCCTGTCTCACTGTGGTCGCACCAATTTTAAAGGAAACTTTGCCAGTTATGTAAAAAAAACGAGTAAAATCACGTGTATTAAGCCAAATTTCTTAAATATTACAAAGCTTTCTTCCACATTTTTGCATTTTTGAGAAATGCATGTCATTTTAAACCAATCTCAAGTTTCACAGTGATTCAGAGGAGCACTATTTTCTAAACTTTTGCACCAGTGTTCAGTTTCCATCTCACTATTACCGGTATTTACTATTTACAAATAATTCTATGGTTACTTGAAAATGCAAATAGCAGCAGTATCAGTTAGCTATAGCATTTCTGGTGTAGGCTGAAGCACCTCTAGTTTAACAACTGTTTATCAGACTTATCAAAATACTGTCAATAATAGTTTACAGCAATGTAAAGGTTTAGAGCACTTACATGAAATGCCATAATGTTTTTGAGATTGCCGTTGTTTTACTATGACAATAATCCACTTTGGCTTTGGCTCCCCTTGGACTAGCTGTTAAATTCTCAATCCATCAGATCCAATCTCTTCTTCTCCAAACTAAGGTCGACCTAAAAGCTACATATCTACAACATTTAACTGTAAAGTCCTCTCAACAGAATTCCACTTTAAAAGATCTGAACCAAACCAAAAAGGCAGTTTGCAGAGTTGTTTGCCCAACAGAAGCAGAATCAATCATTTCAATTATTCATAGTATCAATTAAGAGCTGTTTGGAAACTTTTGTTACAAATATCAGTTTTAAAAATAAAATATTTTAACAAGAATGGTCTGATAAATGAACTCGTTCAAAGAAAAACACTGTTTAGAAAGCTACAAAGTCCCTTAAATTACAAAATAAAGAGATTGTAAAACAGTGATTTTTCATTCCAAGAAAATTCTACATTTCCAGTTGAATCAAATAGGAAATTACCTTTAATTGGCATTTCTACTTGTTAGAACAAATAGATCAATTTAACTGACATTTATTCATTTGACGAAGTGGCCACAACATAGTACGCCTTGAGGCTTGAGCTAATGTGTATTCATGCTTTCACTCATATATATATATATATATATATATATATATATATATATATATATCATTGCACAGGAAGGAGGAAATGGCAACGCCGTGGCTGCAGTTACCCTGGTGATGGCTAAAATAATGTAACAACTTAGACCTTGTCCACATGTAAACACATTTTTTCCAAAACTTTCTATTTCTTATGGTTTTTAAAAAAATACAACATCATTTCTACAAATGTATTCATCCACACAAAGGCACACACAAAAAAAAAAAAAAAAAAAAAAGCTAAAACACTGTAGTAAATATGCCAGGTCTGTATGTTGTAATATGCCCTTACACTCAATAGAAACTTCAAGCTTTAAGAATATTATTAAAAAATTAAGTAAAGACAATAATGAATACAGGAGTTCCTCGCTACCTCATGGTTCATTTTTCACAAACTCGCTCTATCGCGGTTCTTCAAAACAAGATTGGACATGACACACAGTTGGCTGATTGATGGATGAACCACACGATTAAATTATTTAGCACCTGCTGCACCTTTGTGCAGCCCACACTGCAGGAGAACCTTTGTTTCTGCGGTGGCGAAGCGGGCATGGCCGAGTGCACTGGCAGAGAGCTGAGTTCATGACATGATGTGCTCTTTTAGAGTATTTAGAGATTAGAAATATTGTTTAGAATATTGCAAGAGTGTGGGAAGGGTTTAAAACG